GTACAGTTCGGCCACTTCTTCAATCAACGAGGAAAAACCCTCAACTAAATTATCAATTCAAAGAAGAGTGGTGCATGGTCACTGTATTCGTTAAACGGTAACAGTTGAAATGTATTAATCCGCTTAAAATCGTTATCATTCAAAACCAAATTGTCAATTGTACTACATGATCGTTGGTTTAAAAATGTGATTGAACTGGTATCACCAATTCTACCGTTAGCTTTTACGCAACGATGTAGACTTACAAAAAACAAGCTTGCGAAACCCCCGAGCATTGCAAACATTATCTTCTGAGGCCCGTCCTTGAGGAATATCAGGGGTATAAAAATCAAAATCTAGCTGATCATTACAAACATCAAAAGTTTGATCACAAGATATAATGTAATTTTAAGAAGGAATAAGATGTCATTATTTCTGCCCAATGGCATTTGCAATATTCGTTTTAGTAATGTGATATAAAGACGGCTAAGAAATTAAAATGTTCATGGCATTTTTCTTTATTTTGTCAGTTGAAGCATCAATGGTAATCATATGAAAAATCTAATCTAACATCATATTATTACTATGCTAAAATAATTATTTCGCAAATCATAACAAGATAATGTTGACTGTATTTTTGTATTATGTTGAGGGCCACAAATTGAGAAGTACAACGTTTAAATATAGTGTGCACCGCCCTTTTATTTTAATCAGCAATTTATAATGATAGACATGCCATAATAATAAGAAATAATTACCATTTTAAAGGTTAAAAAAATGAAAGAAGGCGGTTATGACAAATAAAAAAGTACCTATTTATAACGAGTGCCACAAAGTTTATATCAAAATTATATGTTAGAAAATATTTGATATACAGAAAAAAAGACAATTAGGCGGATAACAAAGTTCACTTTAAATCAAAACACATTATCTACATTCGGTGTTTATGTCCCTTGTTATTATTGGAGCTAAAGAGAGACAGCTCCAAATATTACATACTATTAAATGTTTGTAGTTGTCTCCCTTAATCTGTGTAATATCATTAATTCCTTAGATATGATTGACTTTAAATTGAAATATGTTATTTTTTTCCATGGATAACAAATACTTTATTTTCGTTCAGTATGTGTGTATTGGTATTAAACCATGATGCTAGTTATATATATTATCTTGAAATGGACACAAATATACTCATTTACCAAATACTTCATTTCTCGACAAATCTTGGTTCCTATATTCCGGTTTCTGTTCAGAAGAATATTAAATACCATCCTGTTATGAATTGCAAGTTACTTGAAAAAGAAAACATTTTAGTGCTAGTATAGAACCATGGAATCAGGAAACATTAATGAAATATAATCGGAGAACTATTAAAGGGTATTAAGCTACCTTAAGAAATATTTTCATAAAGTTATAAACATTAAAATTAAATTGTTTTATAAACATTAAAATTAAATTGTTTCTATAATCCTATAACGGTCGGTTTTTGAAAACATTGTACCGGTTATTTAAAACACATGAATAATGTACAAAAACAAAATAACAAAATATTTTACTGCTATTTAAAGCACAGTTTTAACCGTTTAGCTTAGGCAATATTCTTCCTTTTTTCTTTCATACAAACATTCCGGAACTATTTGTTTGTTTTATAATTCAAACAATAATTTTTGCCGCAGGTATATCACTTCATACACTTTAAAATCACAAAATACCTACTAATATGACAGAAAAACTTTTCAACTTATTTTCTGTTATACATGCAGTAAATAACTTCCCATACAATAATCTTATAGCTTATTTTTATGAATTGAATGCACAAACTTGCTTGTTAAAAGTTTCATCATCAATTTTTCAGATGGCGTAAATAAATTACGGGAAATTAAGCTAAATATTAAATTTTAAATTTTAGACGTTAAGCTTCACGCCTCTAATCGATTAAACAAATTGGAAAAAACCAAAAAGAAACAAAAACATCGAGTGCTTTGAATAAAAGTAGAAACACACTGCATGTCTGCATGTGAAATTATAATTTTATTCCCATAGTTATACTAACGGAGCTAAACCTAACTTCATTGTACACTATTATTTTCCCGGTGTGAAGAAGGTTGTTGTGGTGTTGGTGTGCTGTGTTGTCGAGATATTTCGGCTACCACTGCTACATGAAAAACAAGACAAACAAAACAAGAGGGCCATGATGGCCCTGGATCGCTCACCTGAGACAACCGCATCCAATCAATGTCTTAAACAAGCATCATGTCCAAGTTTGATGACAACTGAGTCAAACATGTGACCTCTAGTGTGTTATAAAGATTTTTCCATATTTGGGCAATGTGACCTAATTTTTGACCGGACACAACCAAACTTGACCTAGAAATCATCAAAACAACTTCTTGACAAATTTCCAGAATATTTGGATGAAAACTGCAGCCACTAGAGTGTTAACAAGCTTTTTCTATTTTTAGCTCATGAGACCTAGTTTTTGACCAGACATGACCCATCTTCGAACTTGACCTAGATATCATCAAAAGAACCTTCCTGACAAATTTCCAGAATATTTGGATGAAAACTGCAGCCTCTAGAGTGTTAACAAGCTTTTCTATTTTTGGCTCCTGTGACCTAGTTTTTGACCGAAGATGACCCATCTTTAAACTGGACCTAGATATCATCAAAACAATTTTCCTGACAAATTTCCAGAATATTTGGATGAAAACTGCAGCCACTAAAGTGTTAACAAGCTTTTTCTATTTTTAGCTCATGTGACCTAGTTTTTGACCGGACATGACCCATCTTCGAACTTGACCTAGATATCATCAAAACAACCTTCTTGACAAATTTCCAGAATATTTGGATAAAAACTGCAGCCTCTAGAGTGTTAACAAGCTTTTTCTATTTTTAGCTCCTGTGACCTAGTTTTTGACCGGATATGACCCCTCTTCAAACTTGACCTAGAAATCATCAAAACAACTTCTTGACAAATTTCCAGAATATTTGGATGAAAACTGCAGCCACTAGAGTGTTAACAAGCTTTTTCTATTTTTAGCTCCTGTGACCTAGTTTTTGACCGGAGATGACCCATCTTCGAACTTGACCTAGATATCATCAAAACAACCTTCCTGACAAATTTCCAGAATATTTGGATAAAAACTGCAGCCTCTAGAGTGTTAACAAGCTTTTTCTATTTTTAGCTCATGTGACCTAGTTTTTGACCGGAGATGACCCCTCTTCAAACTTGACCTAGAAATCATCAAAACAACTTCTTGACAAATTTCCAGAATATTTGGATGAAAACTGCAGCCACTAGAGTGTTAACAAGCTTTTATATTTTTAGCTCCTGTGACCAAGTTTTTGACCGGACATGACCCATCTTCAAACTTGACCTAGAAATCATCAAAACAACCTTCCTGACAAATTTCCAGAATATTTGGATGAAAACTGCAGCCACTAGAGTGCTAACAAGCTTTTTCTATTTTTAGCTCCTGTGACCTAGTTTTTGACCGGAGATGACCCATCTTCGAACTTGACCTAAATATCATTTTAACAACCTTCCTGACAAATTTCAAGAATATTTGGATGAAAACTGCAGCCTCTAGAGTGTTAACAAGCTTTTTCTATTTTTAGCTCCTGTGACCTAGTTTTTGACCGAAGATGACCCATCTTGGAACTTGACCTAGAAATCATCAAAATAACTTTCCTGACAAATTTCAAGAATATTTGGATGAAAACTGCAGCCACAAGAGTGTTAACAAGCTTTCTCTATTTTTAGATCCTGTGACCTAGTTTTTGACCAGACATGACCCATCTTCGAACTTGACCTAGATATCATCTTTACAAACAACCTTCCTGACAAATTTCCAGAATATTTGGATGAAAACTGCAGCCACTAGAGTGTTAACAAGCTTTTTCTATTTTTAGCTCCTGTGACTTAGTTTTTGACCAAAGATGACCCATCTTCGAACTTGACCTAGATATCATCTTTACAAACAACCTTTCTAACAAATTTCCAGAATATTTGGATGAAAATTACAGCCTCCAGAGTGTTAACAAGGTTTTTCTATTTTTAGCTCCTGTGACCTCGTTTTTGACCCGAGATAACCCATCTTCGAACTCAATCTGTATTTCATTGAGACAAACATTCTGACAAAGTTTGAAGATGATCCAATCAAAACTGTGACTGGTTGACTGTTAACAACCCAATTGTTGACGACGCACGACGCACGACGACGGACGCCGGACATAGCCCCATCACTATACCTCACCATGACCACTTCGTGGTCAGGTGAGCTAAAAAAAAAAACAAACAAACAAAAAACAAAAAAAAAAAAAAAAAAAAAAAAAAAAAAAAAAAAAAACGCCATGAAAATTTTATCCATTGTATTTATTGCTAACAGTTTTATTATTCATTTAAAGAATAAATAACCAGTATCTATAGTAACAAAGTATAAATCTTACAAACACTTGAGGTGACAAAACAAAGCACACTTAAAAATTCATGTACCATTCTAAAATAAAAAAAACTAATGCTGTTTACAATATATTGTACATCTGACATATATTTTACATATGTGCGAGGTAGTTTCTCGATAAATATTGCTTTTTGCTGAATTTTCTGTAGTCAAAGACTTGAGAGGAGCACAAGATTAAGGCGCAACTTATGTAATATTTAAGCATTGTAGTTTCTTAAGAAAAGGTCTTAGTTACTAAAGTTACATTAACATGCGTGTATTTGTTTATGTATCGTTGTCATGTTTCTTACATGATTTATTAAATTTATAGATGTCCATAAGTCAAAACTCCAGGGATAATATAGCATAATTTAAATAACTTTTTGTAAAGGTAAGTTGACGCTACTTACGACATACATAAAGCTTATGCACACTAGAGGAGCTTATTTAGTTTAAATTTGAAAGAGACAGTTATTGGGTAGATATTCGCCCTGGCAGATAATTCCCTGTATGCAACACTAATACAAGAATACAAGTTACAAAAACAATATCTATCACATTGGAAAAATACATCATATCTGTATAATGCAATGATAAATGTAATCTAATGCAGATGTTAACATACAATAAATCATAAATCATAAAATTCTAGCCATGCTTGGAATTCTAAATTGGAGAAAAACAGAATCCCTAAAGAAGGCCCAACAAGGCAAAACTGAAAATGTTGCAGGCTTGGTTTGATTGAGCATGATCATAGACGGCACTGGTAAATGCAAGTTACCTTCCAAGCCGATATCACCGTCTAAATCGAGTTTACCATTATGAACACAAGTTAAAGACATAAAAACATATTTTTTTATGTACGGAAACTGCATTTTAGCAGTCAAAAATCACGACTAAAACTGTAAAATATAAAACGATATAAAAACATAAACATAAAAGGCACATATATTACATGTTATATTAGAGCGATAAATAATGTACAATATTTGCTAATGGCACAGATTCACATCACAAGGTGTTGTAACGTTTTTTGTAACATTTTATACAGGTGCTTATGAGATACCTGTTTTGTCCATGAAAAGACCGAATATCAAATATTCTTATTAAACTACTGTATTTATTCCAGTTTAAAACATGCTTATTGTATCAGCAGCGAAGACACTGCCATACTCCGCCCGCACGAAGTTAGAAAAAAGTCATAAGACTACATGGATTACAATTTCTAAGATAGTTTAAAAGTGTTACTTAGAAGCATATACATGTATATGTGAACAAGAAAGAAACCATCTAAAGGTACTAAAAGTACGATCAACTGGACGGATACATTTAAACACTGTTTGTAACTTGTGAACTATGTTCACAGATCAAAGTCTTCCAGAAGGAGTTCCTCAGTATCACTGTCCTCAAATGACGAATCGCTAACTCTTCTATTGCCCTTGCTTTTTACACATCTGTTGTTGCATATACCATGAATTTTATGTAGATGTTTAGAACGACGTTTGAAAAATACACACACAAAAAAAACACCGGAAGTTATATTTACAAGCAAAGCAAAAGTAAGTATCATAAAAAATTCAATATTGCACATCAAAGGCATGTTACAGACACAAGAGTTGTGTGGATAAGGTCCGCGACAACTTATATTTTCTACAAACTGACCGTGATTTTCTTGAACAAGCCAAAAATGGTCCATTGTTGAATTATCCAAAGCATCATTTTGTATAAATAGTAAATGACTGGTGTTATGGATTTCAAGAACGCTGAATGACTGGATATTCTGTTGATGTGGCTTTCTAGTGAACCTGAATGCCGACCAATGTTTGAGCGAATCTGAAATAAGTAAAACAAACAAATTGTAACATATAACGTTTTCCTAAAACATAGGAACTAACATTTGTGTTCGGTTATGTTCGGATATTTTATGGTGCATCAAGACTTTGCAACAGGTTGTGTAATAGTATTTCTTTTTTTGTCCTGTTAAGAAAAGTTCATTTTTTCCATTAAATAATGTGTATTTGTTTCGGATTAATAGATCGTGCGATATAAAATACACTTAATATTCCCTTTTTTCTTTTATAAACCAAATTGTCCTTATACGTTTTGTAAGCATTGATTTATATGCGCTTTTATATCATTGGAAATGATAATTTTATAACTTTAAGATGAACATATAATACTATATCATGACTATATTTTATTGTCCTCGCATCATCTTCATTGGCAGAATTATTTTGTATGCTAACTTCTTATTCCGGGGCCAAGGCGGATGGACAGAAGAAAGCATAGAAGATGTATGCCGTCAATAAATATACTCAATTAATCTAAGACTATAACAATTTGCAATTGTTCCACTCTTCTGTATCTTCTAGTAAATCTCTAGTGATAGATGTTCTTTATTTTACTTACTTACATTTATATAGAAAGCATTTTTTTTTTAAATAAAAAATTCAATACATATATTTATAAAGTATTTATGAATTTAATTGATTAACACGTTTATTGAAATGTGAATTATTTCTTCAACCATATTTTTAAATAACTTTATAAGTTTATACTGTCCTAGGATGATAACTTGAGCCTTTGTTTACATAACAAAGACCAATAACAATGCGAAAAATAGGTTAGGCAGATCAATGCCACAATCTATAAAAATGAAAATAAAACTACATGTTATCATATGTCTTGTTAGCGCAGTAGGTAGAGCAACCGTGTCAGTAATGAGTTTATCCGTACATACAGAAGTTCGACTACTGGTACATTTTTTTTACCTCAGAACAGTCAATTGTTTGACCGGTTTTATGCATACATGAATATGAGATCGAATATTTTATTTCACTGTGATCAAAATATACAAAAAGAAAAAAGAATAGAAATAAAATATAATTATATACTATAAAATATATATAATAAGAAGAAAACAAAAAGGAAAACGAAAATAAATGAATAATAATAATGATAAAAAAACAGAGCAAGAAGAAAAACCTGTGGTTATAAAATGGCACTACTTGTGGTTCGAACCTATGAGAACAAAACTCTAAAAGTTACAAATAATTTCGATCTACCGACAGAGCCATAACGGTAATACGCAAACGATACTGTAAGAATAATGCTATATAGTATTTGTAAGTGTTTACTTTTACGATATCGGATAATAATCCAGATAACCCCGTTTTTGGACTTTCCCATGTACCGTTAAGACCAAATTATCATCCTAGGACAGTATATTGTAATTGTATTTATAATAATTTATAAATTTAAACTTTCATGCTTTTTAAAGTATCAATAGTATTTTTTATTCAATCTTAACGTTTTTGGTTGGGTTTCACGTCGCACCAACACAGTATATGTCATATAGCGGCTGTACAGCTTTACTTGTAGAGGAAGACATCAGGTGCCCCTCTGCGCATTTTTTCAGGCACACCTGGTGCCTATGTAGAACCATCGACGTTTTGTAAGCTAGCTGGACAGCTTTCTCACATAAACAGCAGTGAATGGCAAGATGTTTGAAGTTAACGAACTTAACCACTCGGGCAAGGCCACCAGAAAATACTATTTCAATATCGCTTGTGCTCACATTAGCCAAGATTTATGTACTCATACTAGAAGTCATTTATATCAATTATATTGTCTGATATCTTGTTAGGGCCATTACAAAAAGGCAACAAAAGGCATATTATTCGGTTCGTTAAACATATCTTATCCACTTCAAAGTCTTTTTAGCGTCAATTTGTGTACTAGAAATGTGTCGTCACGCCACGGATGCTCCCGCATGCAACCAAAATTTCAGATGTTATAATATTTAGTTCCAAATTTGTTTGCACAAATTGCTTTTTTCCTTTTAAGTTCAAAGTCCTTAAAACTATTCAATGTTAACACAAACCATTTCTATACAAAGTTCAAGGCACTGAAACTATTCAGAGTAAACCTTTTGTAAATAGCATATTGCATATTTGTAGGCAAAATAATGGCTACATACATTTCCACAAAAGTATGAGTGCTGAAACTGAAAATTCAAAATTTTTCAAACATTCAAGAAAGATAACTTTGTCCTTAATCATTGAACCACGACCAAATTCAAACTTGAACTGCTTATTCCTAAGATGTATCTATATGTCAAATTTGAGTTGAATGTGTACAAAAATTTGGGAGATAATGAACAGAAACTTAAAATTTCTGATTTTTTTTCAAAGTTAAAGGGGCATAACTCTGCAAAAAATCATCGAACCATGACAAAATTCAAACTTGACCTGCGCATTTCTTTGACGTATCCATATGTCAAATTTGAGTTGTAATACCCAAGAGGAGATAATGAACGGAAAATGAAAATTTCATATCATTTTCAAAGTAAAAGGGACATAACTCTGCAAAAAATCATCGAACCATGACCAAATTTGAACTTGATCTGCGCATTTGTTTGGCATATCCGTATGTCAAATTTGAGTTGAATATGAAATACTGTTGGGGAGATAATGAACAGAAACTTAAAATTTCATATTATTTTCAAAGTGAAAGGGCATAACTCTGCCAAAAATCATCGAACCATGACCAAATTCGAACTTGACCTGCGCATTCCTTTGACATATCCATATGTCAAGTTTGAGTTGAATGTGTAATACCGTTGGGGAGATAGCTCTGCCAAAAATCACCAAACCATGACCAAATTCGAACTTGACCTGTATTTTGTCATGACATATCCATATGTCAAGTTTGAGTTGAATGTGTAATACCGTTGGGGAGGTAATGAACGGAAACTGAAAATTTCATATTATTTTCAAAGTAAAAGGGACATAACTCTGCCAAAAATCATCGAACCATCCCCAAATTCGAACTTGACCTGTATTTTCTCATGACATATCCATATGCCAAATTTGACTTGAATGTATGCAACCGTTACTATGATAATGAACGGAAACAGATGATGACGGAATGACAGAATGACGGAAGGACGGAATGAAAAGAACGAAAAGGGTAACACTATATGCCCCCGCCATTATATGGCGGGGGCATAATAAATTTCCAAAATTCAGTTTGATTGAAACTTGCTTTCGCGCGACCTTATTTAGACCAGATATTAGTTGAATCTCAAAGAAATTTCATGAATCTTATTCTACAGAAATAGTGCAGACATTAATTGCCACAAAATGAACTCAAAAACAAATACTGGTAAAGTTTATTAATTTCAAAACTATCCTTCGTTTAGGTCTTATACCAATTGCACCCCTATTGTTGATACAAACTAGCCTTGATTCATAAAGATATATTAAACACATTACATTGGTTCTGATAATCATACCTTCCCAGCCATCTATTCCTTCTGTTGAACCAGCTGCACCAGTAATAATGTGGACAGGAGCTCTAGGATTGGTATAATTAAATCGCTCTACCTTCCCGTCAAACATAGGATACAGTCTCTCATATGAATGCTCATGTGCCTCGATCACAAGGTCAACACCTTGGGCATTAAACAATGACTCAAGTCTGAAAACATTTTCACTTTATTCTGTTAATCTTATTGCAAGTTATTCGTTTACAATAAATGTTAAAAAAAATCCGGAAGACTTTGATATTGGAAGATTGGTTTAAAAAAAAAGAAGGTTAAATTCCTCTAAACTTCGGAGAGTTATAGATTGTTGTTGAGATCTATATGACCCTTGAAAACAGCAAATGTTTTAAAGTTATCATAAGGTTATATATTGTCACATATATCCCGTTTGCAAACAATATAAAAATTAATGAAATTCATTTTATTTTAATTATTGAAAAATACTTGCGTGGCTTCGTAAAATTCAAGGAACTACAACCCTACATATCGCGCACTTAGATGATTTAATAATGTGTATGAACGCCTTTAAAGTTTGTTTTCAATAAAAAAAGAACAGACACCTTATATAAATAACAATTATTCAAATCATATTTATCGTCAAATGACTAATAGTAAGACTGGTAAATATAAAAAATTGATAGGTAGCCTCAGATGTCATTTGGTTTGAAAACACAATCTGTAAAAATCCCTCATGCTAATTATCTGTATGTAATAGCAAATTATTTTTGCCACACCTACCAACGTAAACCTTCTGTACCACTGGGGCTTTGCTATAAAACACATTGTAAGTCGTTTTATGCCACTGATACCACGGATCTTAATTCTGATAGTGACAAACTAGTAGAAGTCTTCTTCTATGGACAAATGTCTTAGCAACATGAATTTTCAACATACCTTTCATTCCTAGAAAATCGTATTAAATCAAAGAGCTATTAGATAATTAAATGACCCTCGTGAGACAATTTACTTGTATAAATCCGAAGTACGCGTATGCCAATATATAACCTTGTATCATTGTTTGGGAACCTTTCTGTTGAAAATGTGTCGGAGTTAAAGTGTAAGCACACATATACATGCACAGTGCGTTAACTGGAGTGCAGGTTTTAGTTACCCGCACTCCAGAGCATGCCAATTGATAGCCTCATTTTGTCTGGGGTTTACTTCAATTGAAACGCCCTCGGTCCTTATCAGAAGAGTGACTGGAAGGGTCGAAAAGTTGCTATTGGAGTTTATTTATTGTGACGACTGAGGAAGGAATAGCGATAATAATATCATATTGAGATGCTCGTTCATTGGTTATTTTTTTATAAGGGGGTTCATATTGTGACAACAGGGGACGTGTTTTTATTTTTGCCTATGATATAAAAGAGACAGAACATCAAAACACTCGGCAATTTAATCTATACTCGTTTAAATCAGATAGCCCCATGTTTCGGTGCTATTTCTAGTACTTACCCAGATCTCACCCATCCCTTCAAAAAAGCATCGGTACAATCATCACCGTCGTTATTTGAGCAGTACATTGGTCGATGTCCAAACGCAATTATCCATGGTGTTTTATATCTATTTTGATTAGCTGTTCTCAAATCACGTGTTAACCAATCAAACTGCTGACAAACGTATCTTTCGTTATAGGTGAAATAAACCTCTGTTGAATAACTAAAATTAAAAGGAAAAATACATACTTATATTTGACACACATAAACTTTCATTGACCTGTTAAGTTAATAATACTATGAGGTGATTGGATGAGTTCACAACTGTCAAATCTAAATCAGACTAGCCGCTAGCAGAGTCTGATATATGTTTTGCAACTGTGTACCCGTCTAATAGAATCAGTTTTGTTCTCCACAATGTCTAATTTCACATTATAAATAGATTTTAACAGATCTTTGTTACTAAATTAAGGAATTGGTATAATATTTTTGACATTGAAAATAGAAATGAGGCTAGATAGAATGACAAATGCATTTCATATTTTGAATGTTTTGGACATTTGAAATTGAAACGAGGCTAAATTGATAAGATAATGTTTTCTTTTGGAATATCACGTGGTCCAAACGCTGAAACTTTGTTGGGTGTGAAATAAAAATGGTTATCGTTTAAAATATGATATATCCATCCATTGTTAATTTACCACGCACGAATAATATTTGTATGTTAGAACACATTGAAGGATTTATTATTTTTGATCGTGTCTGTAGTTGTTACTCCATTCTTTATTAAAGCTCACCTAATAAAATGAACTAGTCCAACGTCAAAGCTGTACCACATTTTATCAAGTGGTATCGGCCATGGCGTGTTAGGCGTCGAGAAACGGTTTCTGTAGGACTTGAAATCTTCAGCAATTTCTGGAACAAAAAAGTTTGGGTAAAAGAAGATGTGACAGTTAAAATAAGCAAATTGGAAATGCATTAAAACGAGTGCAACAACGTCTATGACGACGACGACGACCATGCAGATTATATCTAATATATGAGCAGCGTCACGACAAAACCAACATAGTGCGTTAGCGACCAGCGCATCAGGATTCATGTTGTTCGCTTACCAATTCTATTACAAGTAGAGAAACTGATAATAAACAGAATAGATCCTGATCAGACTGCGCGGATGCGCAGGCTGGTCTGGATCCATGCTGATCGCAAATGCACTATGTTGGTTTTGACATGACGCAGCTCATATAGTCTCTTCGCGACCACATAACCTCGTTTGATATAACTTTTTTTCAGAGTACCGTCGGTAGAGGAAGTCTGTTAAAGAAAGACAATTGAAAGGGTTGTTTTCAGAAAGAAATAAAGAAAGAAAGAAAGAAAGAAAGAAAGAAAGAAAAAGAAAGAAGGAAACCCAAAACAGTCCGAGTATTTCTGCCAGTAAGTTGCAATGTTGCAATAGAGAATGAGCATAAAGTAATTGTAGATTTAATACGATTTATATGACAACATAAATAGTATAAAATCCACAGTAACTTGCGTGAAATATCTGATTTATTGCATTTACAATTACTTTCTTTATCTTATCAAGTGATAATTATTACAAAGTATATGCTACTTATAAATAAGAATAAATCAATCAGATATTTATAAACAAT